GAGTCTGGGTCTCTGTCTATGTTTATTTCTTGTCTTAATTTGATAGTCTGTCATCCTGTGTGCGTTCTATTCAGTTTTGCTTCCCCTGTCTCCTTAGTCTGATGTAATTCACCTGTGTCCCTGGTGTGATCCATTTTCCTGATTACCTTGGGTGTATTTAAGCCTTTAGTTTCCCTCTGTCTCTTGCTGCGATCTCCCTCTATGCTGTTTGTTGAGTCATAGCTTCCAGTTAATGCTGTTCCTACCTTGCTTTGTGCATCTTTGTTCGCTGTTACAGTTTTTGGCAATAAAGCTGAGTTTAAGCTGAAGTCCTGTCTTCAGTATGCAGACTAGGGAGTCCATAATTAAACCACCAACCTTCCAGTTGGTGGATAGCCCACTTTTCCTCCTCAGTTACAAATGACCCCCCTACCCGATCCAAAAAGACTCAACATACAGTGTTGGCCTAACTTTTTGTGATACATCTTACAGAAGAAAGAACACGTGTGTTTGTGTGTGTTGTGCCCTCTCTGTGTGCCCTACATTTAAAGCAGTCCAGTCCAATGTTAACACCAGCTGCTGTCTGTATCTCTAATTATAGCTTCTGCAGTACAGGCTCACAGGGCAAAGCTGGGGGGGGAGTCAGGTTACTCCTTCTGAAAGCTCTCGCAAGCAGACACAAGCACACACACACACACACACACACACACATCCTTGTTTAAACTGGGCCTCCAAAAAACAGTGTCTGACAAGGCCTAAAATCTCACATGGGGCTCAGCTAGGTATTTATTCACTTATTTACTCTTCACTTTGACCTCCATTTGACAAGCCTGGGCACTGAGGAGGAAACATGTTTCCCCTGGAGTAAGTCTGGGAAAGGTTGGGAAATTTAGAAAGTTAAAAGTTTTAAGTGCTTCTGTTTTCTTGAAGTTCTTGTCAAGGGCACACAGTGAATCTGCTTGGACCCCTGATAATCTTGTAAAATGTACTTTTGTCAGTGTTATCGAGGAACCACCAAGCATTTAATCATAATAGTACTACTTAATTCAATTTGCAGATGTAAAGGAATTGTCTTTATATTTGTTTACAGTTAGGAAGTCAGTGTGGGTGAGATGAGGTGAGGAAATGGGCCTCTCAGAGGAAACACTGATGAAATATCAGCTGTTTGCTGGTGATTAATAAGCTCTGTGTTTCTGGGATATGTGAGTAGGAGACTTTTAGACCTTCGTCTCTTCCCTGTATTCTCTTCCTGCCTTTTTCCTTGTTCTTTAAATCTTTTGTTCCTTTTACACCCTTTCTACGTTCCTTGCTCCCTCCCTCTCTCCCTTCCCCATCTGTCTATTTTGGACCCTCGGAGGGGCTGGGTGACTCTCAGTGGGTCAAACTCCGTCTCCCTGCTTCTTTCTATCAGTCTCTCCCTTTCTGTCCCACTCTCTCCAGCACTGAAATCTCAGAAACCTCGCCCTGGTAACTTTTTGGGACACAAAACTTAATTTCTTGGATTTTATCCCAGTTTCACGCCACTTGTGGGAAAGTTTTTGTGTATTTTTAGACCCGCTGTGATCTGGCTTAAGACAATTTTTTGTGTTTTTTTTTGCTGTATGATTTGAGTGTTTCTTTTCTCATAATCGACTCGGGTCAAAAACAGGACTTGACAAGGAGTTACATACTTGTTTCTATG